TTCAGTGACGAGATCATGCAGATCGGGGAGTATGGCATACTTCCGACCGCGCTTATGACCACCGTCATTCCCGGGATCAGCCTTCAAGCTCCCGCTGGGACGTTGTCGCACATCATCAACTCCAGAATCTTCCTGCACGCCTGGCAGCTCCTGTCCGAGGAGGTGTGCTTCAACGAGACGGACTGGTTCGTGAAGGTTGACCCGGATACGGTGTTCATGCCGCGGCGCCTCAGGCCCCGGCTTCCCAAAGGCTGGGGCTCCAGCGAGCCAGCGGGCATCTACATGCGCAACTGCGAGGTGGCAGCCCCGACCGACCTGGGCTTCTACGGCGCCGTGGAGGTGCTTTCGCGCAGGGCGGTGCTCGCCATGCTGGCTGGCCTGGACGAGTGCAAGGCAAACTTGGGGGTGAACGGTCTCAACTACCTCGCGTTCGGCGAGGACCTGTTCACTCAGATGTGCCTGGACCACGTCGGCGCAGCTCGGAGGTACGACCCCGGGCTCCTGTCCGACGCTTTCTGCAGCTCGCGCCCCTCGGCGGACTGCTCGAGTGGCGCGGTGGCGCTGCACCCCTTCAAGACCGTGGACCAGCAGGTGGACTGCATCCATCAGGCGGCCCTTGCGGAGTCTGCGCCTCCACCGCCGTGGGTCGCCGAAGGGCCCGATTCCCGTGGGCTGGGAGCATAGGGGCAGGTCCGCTTCTGCGGCCTCCTCGTCTGCATCCTAGTCCTCATCCTCCTGGTCGTCTTTCTCATGCTCTCGCCTCTCTTTCCTCTCACTGCGTGCCGCTCTGCGGACGGAACGGGCACCCCCTAGGCGATGCTGTAGAAAACTCAAGTTTTCGGCCAGAGACTCGATTATTCTTAATGTTTCGATGTAAACTCTAAGCTGTTAATAGAAATTCTGAGACTATGAATTTTTTAACCCATGATTTCTAGAGCATCTCTCAGGGTGTACCCCAGCGGACGGCAGCGCCCCTCGGGCGCCCGCGGCCCCACCTGGCAGGTGTGTGCCGTAGCGCTGCCGGCGGCGCGCAGCCGAGCCTCGGCGCCGGCGCTCCCTTCATGTTGCGAGCAGCCAGCGCGCCAATGACTTGTGTCGGCATCTCGCAGCATGAGCTAAAACGACGCGAAGATCGGGACAAAATCGGATCGGGATAACTCGAAATCTATGAGAATCGGCGGGTTTGGAGGATGTATTGGGCGCCGCGGCCGCTCCAGAGCGTTCTGGAACGCTCTGAGAGCGCTCCGAATCTCTGGAGCGATTTATCCTGATTCTAGCCCTGCTTTATGAGCAACAGCCAGCATTTCCAGGATGCATTGGTGCTTTGGCAAAGGCCTGTGACGTACCAGTGCGGCTGTCTGCACCGTTCATGGCTCCCATGAGGCGCCGATTGAGCGCACGAGCCATCTTAGATGTTGACAGCTTCTTGCACTGTCTGATTGTGAACCAATCGTCTCCACGTCACCGCAGCCTTGGCCATCATGGAAGCAGGGAGTGAGGAGGAGAGGGAGTTCAGGGGGAGAGCGACCGAGGGAGGGCGAGGATTGTGTGAAGCGGCTACATCATTCTGCGTGCCATGCGCGTTAGCATTCGGCTTGCTAATAGCAAGCTTCTGTAGGTAGCATTGCCTTGCAGAGTTAATGGTGTACGAACGTGCGTACGCAATACGGCACTGTCTCAGTGCCTCGCAGCATGGTGGAGCATTTTCACGACACGAGCTCAGGCGCCCATGGTTAATGTTGGCCCATGGAGCGAGCTTCCTAATCTGAAAGGCATGGATGGTGTCCGTTGATTGCGCCCTGCTTGCCACCAGCCTGCTGATGTGAGGCGGGTGGGTGGGTGGGAGGTGGGTTTCGGGGAGGACGAGGCGTGTCATGATGGAGAGGAGAGAACACGCATGATGAGGATGCTGGTGGAGGCGCGGCCTGTGTCAGCGAACTCCTCGTATCGCAGAGAGGCGAGTCAATCAAGAAAAGGGCTCCTTTCTCCCCCCCCATCGATCGTCCCCCCCATGGATTCGCGCCCTCCTCCCAGGAAAGTCGCCCCGAGCCGACAGCGAGCGTTCTGTCGCTGTCGGCCCGCTCTGCCGCAGCACCTCGGCGGAGAGCGCGGGGGCCCCCGCGCGGCCCTGCCTCTGCCCGGCGCGCGCGCGGCTGCGCCGAGGGGTCGGCCTCCGGGAGCGAGACCCGGGGGCAGCGCAAGGGGTCGATGCCTGGGGAGCGATCCATGTTGGTGGCGAGCGAGGGGGGGGGAGAGTGAGAGGGAGCAGGCCTTCTCGGGAGGCGGCGGCACTTCTCGGAAGCCCCTCGCGCCTTCTGAGAAGTGTTCTGCGTTCCCGGGGATGGCTGAAGCAACCTGTCGTCGGAAGGCCCCAGGACTTCCGAGCCTTCTGGGAAAGGCCCCCCCCCTCCTCGCTTCCCCCCCAGGGCTCGCCTTCGAGCCTGGGGGCAACGCATGGGCGCGATACCTGGGGGCGATATATATATATATATATATATATATATGTGTGGCATAAACATAAACAATATATATATATATATATATATATATATATATATATCGCATAACACATGTATAATACTAGGTATATAATATAACACACATGCATATAGTATTGTGGCAACGCGTGGGGACAATCTTTTGGGGGCGACACATGGGGGCAGTACTTGGGCCCAGATGTCTGGCGCTCCAGTTTTTTTTCCGAGGCGTGGACCTCCCGAGGTCTGGACAACTTCCCCACGCGGGGCCAGCTTTTCATCCCGAGTTGCAACAATCGTGTGGTGTTGGGTCCCTGTTTGGAAAAGACGGTCCCCGCGTTCCTCTTCTCCTCCCCTCCTCATGCCCCTCCTCACCCTCCTTTTCCTCCTCCTTCTTCCAGGCGCTTCACCCACCCAGCACAGCGTTTCGTTGCCCCATAGGGAGCTCCACCGAAGGTCCTCAGTGGGACCGCCCGCATGCGTCCGCCACCACCCAGCACAGCCCTTGCTCCCTGCGTTTCACCCACCCAGTACAGCGCTTCGTGGCCCCATAGGGAGCTCCACCGAAAGTCCCAGCAGCACCGCGCATGCGTCCGCCACCAAAAAACACGGCCCTTGCTCGCTGCGTTTCACCCACCCAGCACAGCGTTTCGTGGCCCCACAAGGGGGCTCCACCGAAGGTCCCAGTGGCACCGCCCGCATGCGTCCGCCACCACCCACCACAGCCCTTGCTCCCTGCGTTTCAAACCAGCGCTTCGTGGCCCCATAGGGAGCTCCACCGAAGGGCCCCGTGGCACCGCCCGCATGCGTCCGCCACCACCCAGCACAGCAATTGCTCCCTGCGTTTCGCCCACCCAGTACAGCGCTTCGTGACCCCATAAAAAGGGGGCTCCACAGAAGGTCCCAGTGGCACCGCCCGCATGCGTCCGCCACCACCCAGCACAGCCTTTGCTCCTTGCGTTTCACCCACCCAGTACAGCGTTTCGTGGCCCATTGGGACGTCCGCCACCACCCAGCACACCTTTTGTTTTTTGCGTTTCGCCCACCGACTACAGCTTTTCGTGGGTCCCAGTGGCACCGCCCGCATGCGTCCGCCACCGGTACAGCGTTTTGTGGCCCCATAAGGGGACTCCACCGACGGCCCCAGTGCTACCGCCCGCATGCGCCCCCCCCCCCCACTCAGTGCAGCGTTTCGTGGCCTTACAGGGAGCTTCACCGAAGAATATATGCACAATTGCGGCACCCACAATTGCATATGGTTGGGTCCTTCGTCAGGATAATTTGTTCACGGGCCCGGGGCTCGGTGAGGGCTCCCAGAATCTGAAAATGCCCCAAACTGGCTGCTAATGGGGGCAGTCCACCACCGCCCCGTTCACTTCTATCCGCAAGCGCGGGGTGCTACGTGTTCCAAATCTCCCTTCGTTACGTCGCACCTGACACATCTGGTGATCGGAGCGGCTTCTCCTCCCCCTCTATCGGCAGCTGCCGGACCTATTCGGCCATGCGCTAACGCCCGGGTCGATTTGTCCAGCCCAGCGTTTTTCCCAGCCATCCTGTGGTGTTGGATCCTCGTTTTGAAGAGACGGTCCCCGCGTTCCTCCTCCTCCTCCTCTCCTTCTTCTCCCTCTCACTGCTCTCCCTCCTCCTTCCTCCCTGCGTTTCACCCACCCAGTACAGCGCTTCGTGGCCCCATAAAGGGGCTCCACCGAAGGTCCCCGTGGCACCGCCCGCATGCGTCCGCCACCACCCAGCACAGCCCTTGCTCCCTGCGCTCCACCCACCCAGTACAACGCTTCGTGACCCCAAAAATGGGGCTCCACCGAAGGTCCCAGTGGCACCGCCCGCATGCGTCCGCCACCACCCAGCACAGCCCTTGCTCCCTGCGCTTCACCCACCCAGTACAGCGTTTCGTGGCCCCATAGGGGGCTCCACCGAAGGTTCCAGTGGCACCGCCCGCATGCGTCCGCCACCATCTAGCACAGCCCTTGCTCCCTGCGTTTCACCCACCCAGTACAGCGTTTCGTGGCCCCATAAAGGAGGGTTCCACGAGGGTCCCAGTGGCACCGCCCGCATGCGTCCGCCACATAATGAAACTATCAAGAAGCCGTCCGTCGTATGCTTTCATGACGCGAACAAATTGTATCCGACCAAAAAAACACAACAACAAACACATCAGCAGCAACAACAAAAACATTAACAACAATAGTAGCAACAACGGCACCACCACCACCAACAACAACACCGACACCAACAACACCACCACCACCACCACCAACAACAACAACAACAACGCCAACAGAGCAGCAACAACTGCAACAGCAGCAAGAACAGCAGCAACAACATCATCCACAATCACGTCCAGAGCCCTACACCCCATCTTTCTGAAACATTGTTCGAGCCGGATCGATCTGTGATGGTCACGGGGCCCCAAACTGGGCGGAAACGCGTCGCAGGGTCTTCGTCCTCCTCCCCCTCCTTTTTTTCTTCGACCCTCAGCCCTCGAGGGAGGAGGGCGTCGCCTAGGCGAGAACATCAGCAACATCCAGAAGGCCATCGGGGCGAGGATGCTCGCGGTACGCGGTGAGGGCCTCGACAACAACCAGACGGCGGGCGGCGAGTGTCGTCTTTGGTGGTCGTCTCGCGTCGTCGGCAGACCGTCGGAGCAGAAGCCGACGCCAGAGGAAGAGGAGGAAGCGGAGGAGAAGGAGAAGGAGACGGAGAGAGCGAGGGAGGGAGGAGGAGTATCAGGAGGAGGATCAGGAGGAGGAGGAGGAGGAGTAGGAGGAGGAGGAGGAGAAGGAGGACCAGTGCAAACCTAAGACTCATCGACGATGTTGGGATACACCCTCCCATCAAGCTCCGTTTTCATAGGCCCCTACAAAAGGTTCATGTACACTGAGACAAGTGCCCCGTTTGGGGACGGCCGCGTGGATATCCTGAAGCGTGCCAAGGCACGCCACGGGTTAACCTGATTGTTACGCCTTGGCGATCCTGAACCGTGCCAGAACACCATTCCTGGGACGTCAACACCGCGAATCAACGTAACTACTGCGCCCTGACAGTCTGGAGTCGTTCCAAAAACGCCACTGCTGGTACGTTAACCATGAAAGCCAATGAAACTTTTGCAACGTTTGCAATTAATGTGCGCGGTGCCCTCAGTGCTGAAGAGGAATCGCCCTCAATACGTAACGCTTTTGATGCTTGTTGTAATGCGCGCGGCGCTAGGGCGAGAGCCACATGTTTTAATCGACCCGCCCTCAATACATGAAGCTCTTGGGAACGTTCACCACGAATGAGCGAGGCGCTAAGGCGAGAGCCATATTTTGAAAACCACCTGCGGTCAATCCGTGAAACTCATGCAACATTGAACAAACGAGTGCGCGCGGCGCTAAGGCCAGAACCAAACTTTAGAAAACGGCCCGACCTCATCCCGTTAAACTCTTAAGACAATGGCGAACGAATGTGCGCGGCGCTAAGGCGAGAGCCACACAAAACAACAAAACAAAACGACCCGCCATCAATCCGTGAAGCTCTTGCAATGAGCGGCGCCAAGGCGAGCGACAGTTTGGAAGCGACCCGCCCTCCATGTGTGAAAGTGTTGTTCTTTAGTACTCAGGACCTTTAATGGTGAGGGAGTCTCAGACGGAACGCCCAGCTTGCCCTTTCGACCAGCATCGGGGGGGCGACATTTTAAAAGGAAGAGGACTGGAGGAGGAGCAGGGGCGGAGGGAGGGATGGAGGAGGGAGGGAGGTAGGAGGAGGGAGGGCAGAAGCAGGAAGGGAGGAGAGAGGGCGGATGGAGGGAGGAGGCAGGGAGGGCGCGGCGAGGCAGGGCGGGAGGGGAGCGGAGTGCAGTGTGTGGCGCTCGCCCGTCGGTGGCGGGTAACGAGCCGGGGGCCACGGGCGCAGGAGGGAGGTCAACGAACTAGCTGTTGGCACGAGGTCCGGAGGAAGGGAAGGGAGGCGAGGGCGGAAGGATGAGGAACGCGAGGGGCGCGAGGAGAAGGGGAAACGGGGGCGAGGAGGAGGAGGAGGAGGAGGAGGAGGAGGAGGAGGAGGAGGAGGAGGAGGAGGAGGAGGGGGAGGAGGATGAGGAGGAGGAGGAGGAGGGGGTGGAGGAGGGGGAGGAGGAGGAGGAGAGGAGGAGGAGGAGGGGGAGGGGAGGGGGAGGAGGAGGGGAGGAGGAGGAGGAGGAGGAGGGAGGAGGAGGAGGAGGAGGAGGAGGAGGAGGAGGAGGAGGAGGGGAGGAGGAGAGGAGGAGGAGGAGGAGGAGGAGGAGGGAGGAGGAGGAGGAGGAGGAGGAGAGGAGGAGGAGGAGGGGGAGGAGAGGGGAGGAGGAGGGAGGAGGAGGAGGAGGAGGAGGAGGAGGAGGAGGAGGAGGAGGAGGAGGAGGGGATCCGTTGGCATTCAAGGTCTTGCATTGAGGGGGCAGGACACACCAGTGAGCAGACCTCTGTGCGAGCAGGGGCGGGCGCCTTTTACATGTCCTTTCTCTCTCGCCCTCACTTCACAGATTCCTTTCCTTCGCTTCGGAAAGGGAGGCGTCATACGCTTGCCCACAGATGATTGCCCATGTTGGGGGTCAGCCAGGAGTGCGCCCAAGGCGCGGGGGCACCAGGTCGCCCGTTCGTGCCCTCACTAATGCTGATGCTGATGGTGTTCGCAAGCACGTGGACAGCACAAGTCTTCCGCAGCCATGCAGGCCGCCCTGGGCAAGCTTAACCAGTCAGTCGAACATCACTACGCCTCCCTGGACAGTCCATCCAGGAGAGGTGCGCCCGATCGGAGCTCAGGATGGATAGCGATGAGTACATTATCGGGCAGCTCCGTGGCGAGCTGGAGGCGCTCAAGCAACGCGTCAACACCGTCGCGCAGGAGACCGTCGTCGTCGCTACTGAATCCACTGCAAACCGAGAATTTGATCGCGCAGTGGATCCCGTTGTTATTATCGTGCGCTGCCCCCGGATGGTGCCGTGGGATCGTGCCCTCACCGCTGTGTCTCCGTGGCTGGCAGATTCTGGACGGGAAGAAGGTGGCTGGCAGCTTCAAGAGGAGCCCGCAGCCAAACCTTTCGTCATCAAGTTTTTAAGGAACCCCTGGGTGTGCCCGGAGGAGGATGTGCCAGGGTCTAGGCGCGCTCAGGCAAAATGATGGGTCGTACCGTTCTTTCAACATCACGGCGAGCGGTTCCAAGATTCCCACTGGACTGTACACGTCTCCCCACACAGTCCCGAAGCAGATCAAGCTTGAGATTCTGACGAAAAAACGGCCGGGAGGATCCTGGCGGAGACGTGCACCACCGCAAAAAGCTCTCCGTGGGTCGCTGCACTCGGGTGGTATCGTCGCAGTGGAAGCCGCTATTCAAGACCGTGCCCGAACATGACAACTCCATGCCCGCCATCGGTTGGGGGAGTGCCAACATTCGCGCCCTCATCGAGCCAAAGCTACATGGAGTCTATAGCAATACGTTTCGAGTCCTCGGTGGGACTCAACTCGAGGCCGGGTGTCTGGCGCTTTGCACCTGGAATGCGCGTGTGTCTTGTTTCATCCTGATCCCCATGCCCGTTCCCCCAAGCTCTCGTACCTCTCGAATCTTCTCATACCTAGCTCGATCATTTCGTTGTGGGGAACACATGGCAGCGTACGTGGCCTCTCCGACTTCCTCTGATACTCCCGCTGGTTCTTCTCAGGGTTGGCGTCTTTCTCGGATTCCCCACAGGCGAGGAGGCGGTGCCACTATCGTCCCCGCCCTCTCTGTCGAGAAAGGTTTTCATGAATTGGCCAAGTGCGAGTCCCGATTGTCGGCGTTGGGAGAGTCTTGCACGGCTGGGCCCCATGTCTGGCCCCCGGGTTGTCCTTGCTTCTTCACCTTGCCTTTCAACATACACAGTTTGGGATTGGCGCCCAGATCGCATCAACGTTGGGATCGACCTCGCTTGTCAGGCTCCCGATCGCTGTCCCCGCGTTCGCCTGCGACTTTACTCTCGGTTCGGATGCCCCGCAGCAGGGCACGCCGCCCGCCCACCTCGAGCCCCACCTTGCCCCTCGCGAGCGGAGGAGGCAGAGGGCTTCATCTTGGCAAGAGGTGTCCTCGACGCTGGTGGAGATAGGGAATATCGAGCCCGCGCATTACATCGGCGTCGACCAGCAGACTTCCATTCTTGATCTTTATTCAGTAGTCTCCCTGGGCAGCCTCTCACTTGCCGCCAGGTCGATGTCAGCGCCATCGAATACCCAGAAAGCCTCCAACAGAGAGGAGTGTCACATTATGCCGCCTTCGTCACCCACCTTCGACACCGGGAGCCCCCTGCTGCGGGCGGTCGCCCCATCGCCGAGCACGTTTTCCCAGCTTCCGAAGTTTTCGGAGTTTGGCCAGCAGACATGGGAGCAGCCCGATGTCTTTGAACTTGCCCCGCCCACGAAGCCGGCGTTGCACGGGGAGGTTTTCAAGAGCCTAAGTGTTTGAACGCGGGCCCCGAGAGCGCCCGCGCCCCCCTTCAATGGTGCCCTGGAGTTTTCGGAGATCCCGGGCGCTCTCCAGTTCCACGGCGCCAGGAGAGAGCAGAGACAGTTGCAGTGCACGATGCGCAGTGCTACCTCGGAGTCCAAGCGTGCCAGGCTCAGACACAAAATGCGCAGGCCTGTGCATGGAAGTCGTCTCTGGGCCCCGTGTGACAGGCGCCCCCAGCTCGCGAGGGTTCGCGCTGGGCGCCGCGCGCTGACCGGCCAAGCTGAGATGCGAAATGTTACTTCTTCACACTGGGGCAAGGCTTTCTCCGCGGGAGAAGTTGATGCTCGCGCTGGCGACGTTTGCCTTCAGCGGCGGGGTGCGCGGCGTGCTTGCTGTGATCCCCCTCCTCCCCATGATTTGTGCGATCCCCTTGCTGCCCTGATATCACGATACGCAGAAGCGCCCCCCCCCCGCTTCCTGGAGTTGGCCTCTGGCCGTGATGTCCCCCGCGCAGCGCTTGCAAACGTGGCCCGTCTGCTTGCGGCGTACTCTTCGGGACCCTCTCGCGGGTCCTCGACGGGGGCCCGATGCGCAGAGGCAGCGACGCCGCCCTCGCGGCTTCCGCGCCGAGTGGCGAGGAGGAGGCGGTTTTCCAGAGCGAGCGCGCGCGCGAAGCGCCTGGGCTGCGCCCTCCCGGGCGCGAGGGGGAAAACGCGGCCGGCGGGCGGGGTCTCAGCAGCCGTCGCGCTTTTGAGCCTCAACAGGGCCCGGCCCGACACGTCCACCATTATGCAGAGAGGGCTCATCAGCGCCAAATGCTTTGGACACGACATAATCGACGCCCGTTCGAGGGCGTTCGCAGGTGTCGCCATCGGCCCCCACCGATCTCCTAGCTTCTGCGAGCTCCAACTTTGGCCAGGCCTTCCCCAGCATCAATTGCCAATGGCTGCGGCGCGTGCTCGTTGCAAAGCGCGCCCCCGGCCCTCTGCGAGCGTTCGTCGACCGCATCCGCGCGGGAGCCCAGTGCCGCGGCGCTTCCATGACTAGACACTTGTTTAGGGGGCCACATGCGAACCCTACCCCTACCCCCCACGATTTTGGAGGGGGAGGGTGGGGTTCACTTCGCTCGAGAGCTCCCAAGCGAAGTGAACCCCACCCTCCCCCTCCAAAATCGTGGGGGGTAGGGGTAGGGTTCGCATGTGGCCCCCTATTGTTCCTCTTCGGCCCCTGGCATTCAGTTCGCGGTCACGACCGGTTGCTTCCTCTCGGGTGCGGGCGCCTCGCCACGCGAGGCTGGGCGGTGGCTTGGCATGCGCTTGCGCTGATGGCGTCGGGCTGCTCTCAAGAAGATCCAGCACGATCGCGTCCTCTACTCGATCTTCGCTGTAGGTGAAAGGATCGTCGCGCTCAAAATGAAGACTGCCAGATAGCAAGATCGTGCCGCTGGTCGCCAACTCCAGCCCCTTCCTCGTTCGCAGATGCGCCCGCTGGATTGCTTGCGACCTGCCCTGCTGGGTGGCGCTCGAGATCGTTGATTCTGCAACGGATCTCGGCTTCCGGTTAGGCCCCGCCGCCGATTTCTTTTCCTGTTGAGCTCCCGTCGCCAAGAGGCAGGATCGAGTTTCGAATATTGCTGCCCAAGTTGTGCCCTCCCCGGTCGCTGTTTTGAAATATGTAAGCAGAGTTGCCATTGTGTTGCCGCAGCTTTTATTGTGTCTGCCTCTCCCAGCTAAGGTGGCCACACAAGAGCCAGCAATGTCTGCGAGAATGTTTCGGACCCGTAACGGCGCGGCCCTGGGTGCCGGGTGGTTTGAGCTCATGGGGGGGCCGCGCCTCTCCAGCATCCGACCACCTGCCGCCGCTGCCCGCGCCCGCGCGAGGCGCATTCGTTACTGTACTTGGCGAGGCGCGCTTCCTGTGCTCCAGGGCGCAGCTGGGGGGGCGCAGTCTCTATCGCACATCGCGCGCGGAGACCCAGCCCCTGTCCTCTGTCTTCGGGCGGCCCCCGTCTTTCGCTGGGCGTCCCGCTGCCGCCGCTGTTGGCTTCCCCCGCCCCGGTGGCTCTCGCATGCTGCTGCGTCCGGCCGCCTGTCCCATCGACGCCTCGCCGTCGCCGCCGGCGGCGGTATAGATCTGCGTGGAGTGACGTTCTCGCCGACGCGCCCGCACCAGACGGGATCCAAGTGCAGCGACAGGGAAAGTCGTTTTTTTTTGCTCGTGGATGACACCCGCCATGTCTGCACGAGGCGTTTGCCTCTCGGTGGGGCCCAGCGGGATGCCCCTCTCGCCTCCCCGGGGCCCGCGGGCTGCGCTCCGCGCGGAGTTTTTCTCGTGTTCGGTGTTTGGTTTGCCCTGGCCGCCCTCCCAGCACAGGTGGGAGGACGGGCCACTGGCAGCAGGTTTCGAGAACGTGCGCCCTGCATGCTGGGATGCCACGCTGGGCTGCATGGTCTTGCTCACGTTTCGCAGCATTTGGGCGACGATGCTCGATCTGGATGTTCTCCCGTTGGTACCTCTCCCCCTGCCCGCCCCTCGCTACCTGTCCCCTTGGTCGCCGCGGTATTGCCATCCCCTCTCGTTCCTCGCTTCGTCCCCTCCGCTGCTACCACCGTCTTCTTCGCACACCTACATGCTGTCAATAAACGCCCGCTTTCAGTCGACAGAGTCGGCGTCATACTTCCCATTGTGCGGTGGGCGCTCGATGACACATGATGGACATGTTAGGCCAACCACGCGCGAAAAGGATGGGCAGGGAACATCCTGGATACCAAGGCCCGCAGCTTGAAGCTCGAATGGGGGAGGTGGATAGGGAGGGGCAGAATGAAGAGGAGGAGGAAAGGAGGTGGAGGAGGAGGAGCCGGGGGGAAGAGCGGGGGGGGGAGGAGGTGAGAGCAGTGGCGAAGCGCCCTGGTCTGCTCATGGGCCCACCAAAACATATTAGGACAACCTTGTGCGTTTCGGTCGTCATCTGTTTGGAACTTTTCTTTCAGCGGCTAACGATTGTGTTATTGCTTGATTGCTTTAATGTAAGACGGAAGCTGATGGTGCTTAGTGAATATTATTCTGCTGTAGCAGGTCGCGCCAGGATTACAGGAATATTTGGACTGCCGCCCACCGCCAAACAGAGGAGGAGGAATTTCGAGGAGTGCGAGGATATTTCGTACACGTCGGGCGCGACCGACTTCTATCAGTTTGGGCGTTTCCCTCCATGTCGGCATCCAGGGGTCTTGTTGATTGGACAATCAAGTATGGATCCCGGGCGGAAATGTGCCTCTGGGCCGAAACTTCTGGGGCTTTCGGCAAGACGAGGCGGATGGAGGAGGAAATTGGCAGGGAGGTGGCACAAAAAATAATGTGTGAACGACTGTGCTGCGAGAGCCTGTTGGCTTTTGCTGCGGAGCCGCAGCCACAGCAGGCCCTGCCAATAGGGAATCAAGCTCCGGCGGACAACCGCCACTCATCCACGGGCTGGTCGCAGCGGGGGAGAAATCAACATTGAAAACATTGTAGACGTCAACGGCGAGGGAATGGATCTTGGCATCTCCCCGACAGCGGCGGGAGACAATTGGGTAAATGAGATCGACTGTCACGGGCTAGTCCCAGCAGTATAAGCATCGTGATCGTCATTACCATGCCGTTGTTTAGGCCAGGGGTTTCCAGAGACCTCCCTGTCTGGGGACTTCTGGAGACGTCCGAGGACCCCTGGAGACCCGCGAAGGAGGGGGAGGCGGTGAAGGAGGAAGGGAGGGGAGGGGAGAGGGCAAGGAAGGATGGGGAGGCAGGAGGAGGGGGGAGAAATGGCAGATGGTGAGGGGGGAATATGAGAGCATGCTCCTTGCTCCTGCTTGTCTATCATTGCTCCGTCTCCTCATGCTCCTCGGTTTCCCGTCCTCTGTGTTGTGCTGCATGTTTCCACCTCGCTCCTCCTCCTCCTCCTCGCGGTGTGTATCCCTCCTCCTTTCCTTCCTCCTTTTGCTCCCCTGCTTCTGCTAATGGTACTCCAGATTTCGTAATAAAAGGGAGGGGGTCTGGACCCTCCAAGATAAGCCATTTCAGACCTCCCCCGTGGGAGAACCCTCCAACACATCGTCCCCAGACCCCCCACAGGCCCTCCAAGATAGCCTGGAAGAGACCCCCCCCCGAAATGAGACCCCCCTCCCGTTCTTACAAAATCTGGAGCACCATCCTGCCTCATCCTCATCGCTGCTGTTGCTGCCCTTGCTCTTGCGCCGTGCTGCCTCCTCCTGCAGGGAGGAGGCAGCAGGATGAGGAGTCGGGCAGGGGAAGGGCGAATCGGAGGATGCGGGAGGACAACCTTGGGGAGGAGAGGGACGGCGGAGCTGTACGTTGGTGAGGAGGGAGGGGAGAGGGCTAGAGACCACGAGGAGGAAGAGGGGAAGAAGAAGGGCACGGAGAAGGGAGAACAGTCACCCCGCAGAGAAAGGACCAATATTCCAAGGTTGCCCCTGCATCCTTGCCCCGTCTTCCCAGCCCTGGCACCTTTCGCTGGCCAGCCCCGTGGGGTACCTTGGGGCGGCCCGCTCGAACAACGTCAGTATGGCGCTCCAAGGCCCTTGCATCCTTACCGCGCGTCCTCACTACACGGGTTGACCGCAGGCGAAACAGGAGGAGGACGAGGACGGAGGGACAGGATACAAGGGATGCACTAGGCGGAGGAAGAGGAGGCGTAAGCCAGGAACGAGAAGGAATAGCAGGCAGGTCGAAGTTGAGTTGGGCTGTAACATCGTCATGACCATCATCACTCTTCGTCCTCATCCTCATCACCACCGTCATCATCACCGGAGGTATCGTCGTCGTCGTCGTTGTCGTCATCATCATCTTCACTAGCAGCAGCAACAGCATCAGCACCATGGTCGTCACCATCGTTGCTCCTCCTCCTCCTCCTCCTCCTCCTCCTCATCATCCTCATTATCATCTTGATCATTATCGCTGGGAGACTCCCGAGGTGCCCAGCGGAAAAAACTATGTTCTTGCAGCCAGCATTTCCTGCTCACATCTGCTTTGGCTCTAATCCTGCTCGCTCCTCCGCGCCACCCCCTCCCTGCTCGCTCCTTCGCCCCACCCCCCCACTCCTCAACCATGGGACAAAGGATGCCATGGACCAGGAGAAAGCATCTGTAGGAGGAGGAGGAGGAGGAGGAGGAGGAGGAGGAGGAGGAGGAGGAGGAGGACTCTGTGTCGTCGTTGTCGTCTTCCTCATCGTCGTCGCCGCCTCATTCGTCGTCGTCGTGGTGGTGGTCGTCGTCGTCGTCAGCGTCGTCGTTGTCGTGAATTCGTCGGTCGCCATCGTTGAGTGGCCCCCAGGGCTACGACCGGCTGCACTTCGTGTGCAAGGGCGACGCCGACTGCGCCTCGAAGCTGCAGCCAGCCCTGGAGCGGGCGGTGGCGGAGATCCACGCGCGCGTGACCGAGAGGCCTCTCGAAGAGCGCCTCGTCGTCCTCGCTGCCCCTGTGCTGACCCCGCTGCCCCTGCTCCTCCTGCTCCTCCTGCCTCTGCAGCTGCTCCTGCGCGTGGTGCTCCTGCTGCCCGCTGCGGCGCGTCGTCGCCGCCCTCCTCCTGCCCCGTTCCGTGCCCCGCCGGATGCCTCTACAGTCGGGGCCCTGAGGAAGGAACCCTTTTCGTTGGGGAGGGGCTCCGCGTTCCTTAAGTGTTTCACAGCTTGCCTCCGATGTTCCTGGTGTTTTCGACGGGAAATCGAAGTTTGACCCATGGAAAAAGGGGCCTCGTTCCTTATTCAGGGTTCCTTAGGTCAACGCCTCGACTGTATAGCCCCTTCCGTGGCCCTCCCCCTCCTGCTCCGTTCGGCGGCGAGCGAGGGGGGGCAGTGAGAAGGAGAAGGCCTTCTCAGAAGGCGCGCGGGACTTCTCAGAAGCCCGCGCGCTCTCTGTGATCCCCAGGAGGAGCGGGCGAGAATAGTAAAGCTGCAGTCTGCCGCCGCTTTGTCGTGTTTTTTTCGATCTGTGTCTTGATGTCACGTGTCGGGCCCTGGGAGGCGATACTCGCTCGACACTGCTTCGATACTTTTCGGGGTGCTCAGGATTATGTCTGGGATGTGGTCCTTAAGCACGGTGGGAACCACATCCAGTGCCGTTTTTGATACATGCTCCGCGTGCGGATCCTGCATTGAAAACGAAGGGTTCATGAAAAACGACGATGAGTTCATGCATCAATGAATCCATAAATTAACCATGTATTAAAACCCAGCATGTTTAAGAATCCTATGTATTAAAAAACTGCCCTGTGAGCCTAGTGGTCTGAGCTCTGGCGGTCTGGGGCGGTCCGCGGCGGGGCCTCGCTGCTGCCAGGGGTGCCCGAGCCCTCGGCTGCAGAGGCCGGCGGCAGGCCGTGCCGCGGCGGCGGGCGCGCAGGCGGAGGGCCTGGGCGGAGGTCAGGAGGGAAAGAAACACACAAACACAATTAATCGTCGATTCCCAAGAAAATATGGGAACACATGGGAAGTGGAGGGGAAGACGAAAACACAGAAAGTGTGGGGAAACATGGGGAATCCGGTTATTTGTGTGTATTTATTTGTGCGTCCCAGGGCCCCTTCACTGGGCAGAGGGCGGGGCGGAAGCAGGAGCGGGGCGGCCATCGAGGGAGAATCGAAGCAGAAAAAACAGCACAAACGTGAACATGCGGAGGTCCGCGCGGATGTCTTGGATCCTCAAGCAGTGGCGAAGCGTCCCGGCTCGCCTATAGCCCCACCAAACAATGTTCTAAGAACCTCTTGTGGTTCCCACGAGATGTTCTCAGAACAGTTCTGGCTGGGACAGTCTTGTTTTAACACATCGGGGTTATGTTCTAAGAACACTGTTTTCGTTCTTAGAACATTGGGGGGGTCTAAGATAATTTCGCGGTATGACTATAGGAATGCCGGGACGGTCGGTCCCTGCTCAAAGGAGCGTGGCGGCCATCGAGGGAGAATCGAAGCAGAAACAGCAGCATAAACGTGAACATGTGGAGGTCCGCGCGGATCTCTTGGAGCCGCGCTGGGACCCCCCTGGGCAGCGCCTCCAGCGCCGCCCCCGGCGCCTTCTGCCCGCCAGGGAGAGGGGCCCAGCGCGGATCCAAGAAATCCGCGCGGACTTTCAAAATGTGATCGTTATGCCGTTTCCGTTCTTCTTTTAGGAGCGGCGCAGACTCGCAGCCAGGACGCTGACATCAGAGACGGTCTGGGTCAGGGAGGGGGCTTGATGTTCCTGAGGTCCTTCCATGGAGTCTCTCTCTTTCTCTCTCTCTCTCTCTCTCTTTTTTCTCTCTCTCTCTCTCTCTCTATCTCTCTCTCGGGAGAAGAAGCGGCGCAAACACGCAGCCACGACGCTGAAAGAAGGAATGGTCTGGGTCCCGAGGGAGCTCGATGTTCCTGAGATCCTTCTGTGGCTGTTTCTCTGGCGCTCCTCGTCCACGCGGGCGCTTCTGAGGCCAAACAGAGGGTGTCTTTCCTTATCTAGCGTCCCTGATTTCAGCAGCCCGACCGTAGTTAAAACATGCAGTCAACACAGATGGTCAGGATAAACGACTTTCCAAGTTTTCTCTTGCATCCTTTCTCTTTGGCCCATCCTTGGCCACATCAGTTGGCGGGGCCTCGCTCGAATACCGCTGGCACGGCCTTCCAAGGCCCCTGTGCATCCCCATTGTGCATCCCCATTGCGCATTGTCCTTTACAGTCGAGGGTCTGATTAAGAAACCTCATCCCGAAAAGCTGGGCCAACGTTTCCTAACCAACTTGCCGGAGAAATGGCCCAGTTTCTCGAGCACGTTCGCCCCTCCAGCGTTCCGAAGAGAAGTTGGCCCAGGCTTGCTAGTCTCCGGAAGCCCCCGGAAAGGCGGCCCAGGCTTCCGAAACGAGGACCTCCTCGATCACCGTGGGCCCTCGAGGCACCGTGCGGATCTCGTGGGCCGACGTTGGTCACCCCTCTGGCGCGGCGCGGCGCGCGGAGCCTCCCCTTGGCGCGCTCCGCGCGCCAGGGGAGGGCTGCACACAGACTACTCCAGATTTCGTAATAAATGGGAGGGGGTCTGGACCCTCCAAGACAAGCCATTTCAGACCTCCCCCGTGGGAGAACCCTCCAAAACATCGTCCCCAGACCCCCCAGGCCCTCCAAGATAGCCTGGAAGAGACCCCCCCCGAAATGAGACCCCCCTCCCTTTATTACGAAATCTGGAGTACTTTGATGTGCCGGTGGCTCGGACTCGCCCTCGCGGGTGCACGCCGCGGCCGCCGTTGCCGTTGCCGCCCCCGCCCAGCCGCCTCCCGCGCCGCCGCCCCTGGCGCGCTCCGCGCGCCCCGGGGGAGGGGGGGAGGCCCCTCCTCCTCCTCCTCCTCGTCCTCCTCCGCCTCCTCCTCCTCGTCCTCCTCCTCCTCCTCGTCCTCCTCCTCCTCCTCCTCCTCGTCCTCCTCCTCCTCCTCCTCCTCCTCCTCCGGGTCCGGCGCAGAGCCAAGAGGTCCGCGCGGACCTGCCCAGCAGTGCAGGAGTGGCGACATGTGCTGCGTGATTAATCATGCTGATGATGATTGCGACGGAAAATGTTGACGATGGTGAGGATGATGACGAATAGTACGGGGAGTAGCCGATGATGGAGAGGAGGGAGGATGCCAGAGGGCCAGGGAGGGTGGAGTCGGGACGACGGAGGATGACGATAACGCAGGAGGGAGCACGATGAGGTCGATGATGAGGATGACGAGGATGGCGATGACGATGCCGCTGCTGCTGTTTGGTGATGAGGAGGAGAGTCAAGCTGGGAACAGCACATGCAATAAGAAGATACGGACATAATGATAGTGGGAGCAGGGTAAGCAGCTCACCTCGCCCTCCTCTGTCTCCTTGGGGGAGGAGGAGGAAGAGGAGGAGGAGGAGCGAGATGAGTAGGAGGAGCAATACTAACATTGTCATGGCGAAGCCGACGATGATGATGATGCTGATGATGATGATCATCATCATCATGGTTGTGATGATGGGTATTGTGATGATGATGATGATGATGATGATGATGATGATGGTGGTGGTGGTGATGATGACGGTGCCGACGATGCTTAGGACGACGATGACGACGATGATAATGGTAACGATGATGGCTATGATGATGTTGCTAATGCTGCTGCTGATGATGATCATGACCTTGATGATGAGCATGCTGATGACGATGATGATGCTGCCGATGATGTTGATGATGATGACGACGCCGGTGATGATGATGATGATGGTGATGATGATGATGTTGATGATGATGAATGCTGCTGCTGCTGTTGATGATGATGATGATGGTGATGATGATGATGATGCTGATGATGATGATGATGATGATGATGATGATGATGATGATGATGATGGTGATGATGATGTCGATACTGCTGATTGGTGATGGTGGGGACCACACTTAAAAGGTAAGTATGCAGTACTGGTATAGGGAAATGAGGAGTAGGGTAAGCAGCACACCTACCCCTCCTCCCTCTCAAGAGGAGGAGGAGGAGGGCGAGGAGGAGGGCGAGAAGGATTTGACTCGATTCGACGAGGACGCGATTCGACTCGATTCGGTTGATTCGATTCGATTCCCCCCCCCCACCCCTCTCTCTCCTTCCTTTGTCTCCTTCCCTCCCCTTCCTTCGGCTCCCCCTGCCCCCGTTTCTCCTCCCCCTCCCCCCCCTGCCCCTCTCGAGGACGAGGGGGAGCTGGGAGCTGGGAGCCTGGAGCCTCGCCGATGGCGACGGCGTGCGGCAGCCACGGCGGCAGTGGAAAGGTGAGGAGGGGAAGGAGGAGAACGAGAAGGAGGGATGAGGGAGGAGGGAGGAGGAGGCGGCGAGGCAAGAGAAGAGAGGGGGCCCGCAGCCGGCTCGGCCAAAAGCGAGTGCGCCGCCTGCCCCGAGCACGGGGCAGGACCGACGCAGGCGACCGCTGACTGCTGCGACCTGCGGCCCCCTCCCGATGCGGCGCTTCGGCGCCTCCGGGAAGGGCCCGGCGGAGCCTCGGGAGGAGGAGCGGCACCACCCGAGCGTGCTCACGTGCACACCGCCGCGCGCGTCGCCCCCCCCCCCCCCCCCCCCCCGAGGGCGGGCGACGCGCGCGCTCGGCAACCTGCTAGGACGTGTTCCCGGGGTTGTCGGGCGCTTTGTGGCCGTACTTCCAGGGTGGGCGTGCATTCATAGATGTCTACATCTATTTGTAGACATCTATATATGTATACACATACATACATACAAACATACAAGCATACACACATACAAACATGCCATCATACCCACATGCATACATAACTACACACATACCTACACACATACATACATACATACATACATACATACATACATACGTACATACATACATACATACATACATACATACATACATACATACATACATACATACATACATGCACACACATACATACATACATACATACATACATATATACATACATACATACATCTATACATGCATACACACATACATACATTCATACATTCAGACAGACATACACACAGACATACATGCATGCGGACACACACACATACATTCATACATGCATACATACATACATGCATGCATGCATACACATATACATACGTACATACATACGCATCCATGCATACATACATACATATATACATACATACATATACATATATATACAAACATATACATATACACATACATATACATATACATATGCATATACATATACATATACATATACATATACATACATGTACAAACACTCATACTACAACATACATACATACATACATACATACATGCATGCATGCATACATACATTCATTCATTCATTCATTCATACATACATACATACATACATACATGCGTACATACATGCGTACATACATACATCCATCCATCCATACATACATCCATCTATATTATCTGCGCAGCTCGGACGTGCGCCTCCAAGGAGGGCGCACAGTACTACAGTGTGCTCCTGTGCATCCCGGAGGAGGCGGGGGCGCCTCGGGACGCCGGCGGTGCCCAGGCTCGGAGGGCGCCAACGGTACACCCACCCCGATCCCAGCCAGGCCGACCCTGTGCCCCGGACCCATCGGGGGTGGCAAAGAGGGGGGGGATGACTAGGGGGGGGGAGATATCATGGCGGGGGCCATGATATCTCCCCAGATTTCATGGCGCCCCTTCTTATTTCAATACGTCCTCGGCCCCCCTGGGCCGCGCACATGCCGCCGGCCATGATTTGCGCCCCCCCTCTTGGACACTCCCCTCTTGGCCGCCCCCGAACCCAGGGATCCAACGTCTTCAAACAATCAAGACGCAGGCTTTTCGCAGTTTTCGGCCTCTGGGGGCCCTCACCGGGCCCCGGGACCGACCATAAGACGACCCAGAATGAAACACCCGTCCTGGCGAATGGGTCGAGTCTTCCGGGGGCCCCGTATGGAAAAAACACGACATCGGATCTCTGGGGAGGAACCTTGTCCGGCTGCGCAGACGCTCGCGCGGAAGCTCCCCGCCGCGGGCCGCGCACCAGCGCCCTCGTTTCCGGTGTGGCGTGTTGCGCTGGCGGCCCGATTAGGAGCCACCGCGCAGGGTCGCCACGCCATCTCGCGTAAGACCCGTTTTTTTTTTTTTTTTTTTTTTTTTTTTTTTTTTTTTTTTTTTTTTTTTTTTTTTTTTTTTTTTTTTTTTTTTTTTTTTTTTTTTTATGTTTTTCTTGTTTATTTCTTTCTCTCTCCCTCTCTCTCTCTTTCTCTCTTTGCATACGTCGCTCAGTTGCCCAGAGCTTCGACGTCGTGATTGTTTCACAGCGTCGACCCCTGGAGTTCTGGACCCCTCCCCTGGGACCAGTTTTTCATTCCGCGAGTCGTTTCTTGACGGTCCCTGGGCCCGGTCGGGGCCCCCCAGAGGCCAGGACCAGTGAAACGCCTCCCGTCGACACCTTTTCACAGCTCGAGGGGGTCTGGATGGCGTCCTCCGGCAGGCCCCGCCGCAGATCGTCGGGTGGCGGGCGCAGCCGGAGGCCTCGATTGAGACCAGCAGTCCGGAGGCCCAAGCAGTGGCGAAGCGTCCTGGCTTCCGCATGCGCCCGCCAAGCAATGCTCTAAGAACCTTGTGTGGTCCGCGCGAGATGTGCTTCAGAACGTTTCTGGCTGGGGCTGCCTCGATTTCACTCCTTGGCTCGATGGCCTAAGCACATGGCTCTTTTTGGCCTTCGAGCAGTCCTGGGCTCCAAGAGCACATCGTGGCAGGCCTGCAGGGATGCCGGGACGGCCGGCCCCTGCTCGAGGGTGGCGGCCTCGGGCAGGCTCCGCCGCAGCTCCTCGGCCTGCGGGTGCAGCTGGAGGCCCAGACCCCCGACGTAATGTTTTTTTCGTTACGTCGACCCCCAGAGGTCCCGACCCTTTCCCCATGACCCATGACCGGCTTTGCATCCCGAGTCGTTTTTTGACGCTCCCGAGGCCCGGTGAGGGCTCCCGGAGGCTGATAATTAGGAAAAACCTCCCGTCATGATTTTTTCATTACTCGAGGGGGTCTGGGGGCCGCGATCGAGACCAGCAGCCCGGAGGCCGCGCCAGCGCCCCGGGGCCCGCGCGCGGAGGCCGCGCTCGGTGGCCACGCGCCGGCCGCGCCGCCGCCGGCGGGGCCGCCGTGGGCGGAGGTGTCGGCAGCGCGCGGGAGGGGCCCTGCGTGGAGGGTCTCTCCGAAGGGCTTGGGAGACCCGTCCTCCTCTTCCTCCCTCCCTCCTCCCTCCCTCCTCCTCCCTCCTCCTCCTCCTCCTCCTCCCTCCTCTTCCTCCTCCTCCTCCCTCCTCCCTCCCTCCCTCCTCCTCCCTCCTCCTCCCTCCTCCTCCCTCTCCTCCTCCTCCTCCTCCCTCCTCCTCCTCCTCCTCCTCCTCCTCCTCCTCCTCCTCCTCCTCCTCCTCCTCCTCCTCCCTCCTCCTCCTCTCCCTCTCCTCCTCCTCCTTCTCCTCCCTCCTCCTCTTCCTCCTCCTCACTCCTCCTCCTCTCCTCCTCTCCTCCTCCCTCCTCCTCCTCCTCCTCCTCCTCTCCTCCTCCTCCTCCTCCTCCTCCTCCTCCTCCCCTCCTCCTCCTCCTCCTCCTCCTCCTCCCTCCTCCTCCTCCTCTCTCCTCCTCCTCCTCCTCGTCCTCCTCCTCCTCCTCCTCCTCCTCCTCTTCGGGTCGCCTACGGCCCTGGGGGAAGCCATGCAGCCCTGCGCCGCAGTGACCTTTGGCGCGGGCCCACTCCCAGAGATCCAACTCATTGAAAAAATCAAGACGAAGGTATTTCTCAATTTTCGGCCTCTCGGGGCCCTCTCCGGGCCCTGGGACCGACAAAAGACGACACAGGATGAAAAACCGGTCTTGGGGAATGGATCGAGACTTCTGGGGACCCCGTATTGAAAAAATCACGACATCGGATCTCTGGGGTTGCAGGAGAACGAGCAATGACATAAACCTGAAAACGCTGAGGTCCGCGCGGGTTTCTCGGATCCGCGCTGGCCCCCCTTGGCGGAGCCTCCGGCGCCGCCTCCAGCGCGCTCCGCGCGGCGCCGATCCGAGGAGTCTGCGTGGACCTCAGAGTTTTCATGCTGGTGTCATTTTTCGTTCCCCTTTAAGTCGGGCCTGTCCCTCTACGGGAGGAGTATTCAAAAATAGTCCAACAATTGGGGACGATGTTTGAACTACTTTTGGCTATTTTTGAATATGTTTTGGCAAATTTTCATTATGTGTCAAAAATCCGCCAGTAGGAGGACATGCCCGACCTAACCCTAATTTGGAGCCCTCCCGAGCACCCCCCGCTTCCCCTCGCTGTGGAAAGGTCACGTACGGCAGGTTCATGTTCATCTGCCCGCGGCTGCACAGAGGGTGTGTGTGTGTGTGTGTGAGTGTGTGTGTGTGTGTGTGTGCGTGTGCGTGTGTGTGTGTGTGTGTGTGTGTTCATGCGCGGGGGTATGGTTTGCGATATGCGTCGTTGGGGCTTGGGGGGGCACCGCGTTGTTCTCGCTGGGCCTCCTTGGGGCGCGGCGGAGAGCTCCGTCGAGGTCCTCGCCCGCCCCACAGTTTTCGGCCTCCGGGGAGGCTGACCGGTCCCTGGGGCCGTCATTGCGTTGGATTAAAAGTTTGTCCCGAGGAAGGGGTCCAGATCTCCGGCGGTCCACGTCATTGACAAGAAAGAGTCGGAGATTTGGCCTGCGCCCTTGCGTTAAGTCGGGCCTGTCCCTCTACAGGAGGAAGATTCAAACACAGGCAAAACATAAGAGTCTGGGGGCGACTTTTTTAGTTTATATTGACGATGTTTGAGCATTGTTCTATGATCTCTCATCTTTCTTCCAAAATCGGCCTGTAGGGGGACAGGCCCGACCCACCCCTTGCACTTGCCCCCCCCGCCCACACCCCACTGGTGCCATTCGACAGCCGCGCACCGAGAGTCCGTCTTGCCCAGGGCCACTGGGAGGAGGACAGCAGGGAGGAGGGAGAAAGAAAGCCACCGCCCTTAGTCGGGCGTGTCCCCCTACAGGACGAATATTCAAACATATGTTAAAACATAAGTCTGTGGACGATGTTTTGACTATGTTTGTGTATCTGTAGGTATCGTTTGGCTACTTTTAATTTTTCGTCCAAAATACGACTGTCGGGGGACAGGCCCGACCTAATCATAACCTGCCGACTCCCCAGTCGCATCTCAGACGTTGCAATCGCGTCACTGGGGCGTCGCTGCGTCGAAAGAGCTCTTGGCCCGGGCCACTCTTTGCGTGTCGCCCAAAAGGTGCGAGGGCGACAGCGAACAGGACGTGCACGAGGACGTTCGCCATCGCCTCACCGCCCGGTTGGCACTGCTTGCCCTGGCGCTGCTGGCGCTCGGCGGGCCCGCGGCCAACTACCTGGTCTGGACGCTGTATGCGGTCAGCGCGCCCGCGTCCCTGGCCTTCGCGGCGTGGTGCGTCGCCGTGCGAGGGCGCTACCGCCCCGTACCGCTACACGCGTGGACGTGGCGCGTCGGGGCCGCCGGCGCCGTCCATGTGGCCGGCCTTGTCGCCCACTCCTTGCTGGACCCTTGGTGCTACGGTGGCGCAGCGAGTGCGGCGTGGCTGAGCGCGTGCAGGGTGCTGTACGGCCCAGCCTACCTCGCGACCGTTGTGATACCTCCTTCGCCTGCTAATGTGGGTCAGCCTTGTGGGTGTCAGGGGAAGGTAGGATCAATTCCTTGGATTTTCCTTGTTCGAGGTCGTACGTGCTTCAATCTACGTTGATGTGTTTTTCCTATGGAATTTCGTCGGAAATCCTTCGCCCGGGCAGGGTGTGTTTTGAGAGCAGGTTTGTTCCTGAGTTTTCCCTTCTCTGACTCTGACCCCCAGCAGTCTGATCCTCATTCGCAGACGAATGAATACCGTACCACCTGCTCGTGCTGAAGCTGCGCGCGCTGGGAGCCCACCGCCAGGCGCGGGCGGCGCGGGCCGCGTTCCTGGCGGGCGCGGCGGCCAGCTCCGCATCCGTCGTGGCGTGGTCTGGGGACACGACCCTCGGATTCTTTGGCTGGGACGTTGGGCCAGTGCTGGCGGTGCTGGCTTGGGTGCGTGGCATAGGCTAGTAGCATGCAACTCCCCTGGGAGTTCAAAGTCTGAACTGGCGCTGGTATATCCCTGGTCGGAAACCGGCCTACTCTGGCTTAGTCCCTGTTAATCTGGCTCAATCCCGCTCAATCCGGCATCGAGCCGCTTATTCAGGCTTAATCCCTGGCCTAGTCCGGCCAAGTCAGGCTCGATGACCCGTGAATCGTTCTAACGTATGCCTCCTAACATAGGCATGCTGGGGGCCATGCTCGCCTTTATGGCGACGGCCTGCTTCGGGGCGTGGGGCCTGCTAGTCGCCGCGCGCGCCGCGCGCTCCAGCCCCGCGGGGGGGATGGAGACGCGAGCGGCTCTACGGGTGCGCTGGACAGCTGTGCTAGTCGTGGCACCCCTCCTGCTGTCACTCGTGGAAGCGATCCCCTTTTACGGAGTTGAGACTGGGGCTGCCGATGACATTTGGGTTCACGCCCGTGCTTGGGCCGGCGTCGTGAACAACGCCTTCAACTGCGTGCAGGTGGCTTTCCTCTCTGACCTGGTCGGGCCGCGGTGGCTGCGGCGGCTGGCGGTGGAGGCCTTCAAAAGCATCAACTCCTTCAACGTGGAGGAGCTGCAGCGTACCTTGACGAAGCCAAGATCACATGGGTTTGATGCCGCTACCTGAGGCAGATGGCTAGCACGGGTTCCACTTTTGTGCGCTGCCAGGCGGTGCCCGCTGCCGAGGCGGTCGTCGGCAGGGAAGGCCTCCCGAGTTCCAGGGACGATCCCAAGCACAGGTACGTCGTGTCGCACCCATGGCTCTCGAAGGCTCACCCAGACCCCAGCGGGGAGACGCTGCGAGCTTTAGTTGATCAGCTGGATCTCCTGGGCGCCTCTGACGACGATGCCGTTTTTATGGACTACACGGGGCTGCCCCAGCACGACGGCCAGGACCTGGACCTGCAGCGCCTGGAGCGCGAGAGGAGATGGCCAAAGCCTGGGGAGCATCCAGCGGTCCGCGACCAGGGCGATGAACTGCGGTTCAAGAGGGCGCTCGACTCGATGGAAATGCTCTACAGCATTGGGGGCATTCCCGTGATAGTCCTGCCCATGGGCAGCGACACTGCGGAGGGAAGAGGCTATTTTTCTCGAGGGTAGTGTTTTCTTGAATCCTGTCTAGCCTTCAGTTTTGGTAATATCGCCAACGCGGAGGTCCACCCGGGTGTCAAGAGTTTGTGCGACACGGCCAAGGTGCTGAACTTAGACACCGCGGAAGGTTTTCGCAAGGCGTTCAAGCAAAGGCATGTCACTCTTCACGGGGACGGGCAAGTTGTCCTGCGGCTGTTCAGGCAGACGGTGAAGAAGAGCAGCAGCACTGCAAAACGGCCGAACCAGGGGACCTCGTGGATCGGATGATGTTCTGCGCATGCCGGTCGGACATGCTCGAGGTGCAGCAGAGGAGCGCAGCCATCCTGGTGAGCCGGTGCGTTGCGGGCGAGAGGCCCGGCCCGGCGGCGGAGCGGAGGGCAGCGGCGCACGAGCGCGTCACGCTGAGGTTCCTGCGCTCCGCGAGCAGCTTCGTCTGGCGCCGTGGGCGGACAGAGGGCGGCCTGCTTCCCCCTTCCTTCCCCGCCCCTCTCCTCTCGGTGATCCTGCCTTCTGCGTCCTCTCCGCTTCTGTCCCAACCCTCCCCTGGTTGGGTCTTCGTGAATGGGGCCCTGGGGCACACACATGCACGGACACGGACAACAGGATTCCCCATCCTTTCCCACACTCTTCGGGGTGTTGTCTTCCACCCCGCGTCCCATTTCTTCCCATATTTGCCTGGGGATCGGCGATTCATGGTGTCTGCGTGCTGTTTCCCCCCCCCCCCCCCTGACCTCGTCTCGAGCAGAGCAGTGGGGTCGCCAAGCGCCTTCGCCTCTTCCTCCCGCCCTCTTGCCCCCCCCCCCCCCTCTTGCCCGCCCGCCTGTGCGCGCCCGCGCCTGCCTGCCGAGGGAGCCCGCGCCGTGGGGCCCCACGCAGGGCCAAGCGGGGCCTCGCCCTCGCTGGGGGGCCTCGGCAAGTGTGATGCTGTCGCCGCTCTCGAGGGCTGCCGGGGGAGCCCGCACCGTGGGGCCCCCACGCAGAGCCGAGCGGGGCCTCGCCCTCCCTGGGGGGCTCGGGAAGTGTGAAGCTGTCGCCGCCTTCGAGGGCCGCTGGGGGAGCCCGCACAGCGGGTCCAAACAAGGACCCAAGCGGGTCCTGGGCTGCTGCGAAGTGTGAAGCTGTTGCCACTTTCGACGGCCCTCAGGAATTCTCGAACTTGTTTCGAAGAACCCCCCAGAGTCCTCCTACGACATGCTCGCGAGCATCCAAGTAAGCTCAGCCCAAGATCGCTCCAAGCCGCCTGGCCGATAGCCTTCTTGGATCGGCATAGGCAAACGATCATTGTTGGCAAAGTCACCAACATATGAGCGATTCTTGCGCAGGTATATTTTTTGACTCAGGTGCGTAGACTTGTGCTGCTAGCGGCACGGCGGAAGGATCAGCCTCGCAACAATCGCAAGTTCAATTCATTCCGAGCTTGCGAGCGAGACATTCGGCCGTGGGGAGCGAGCACGTGTGTTTGTAGACATTGTAGTGGATTAGTTGTGAGATTTGTTGCTGAGGTTTTTATCTTTCTGTCTCCCTGCTTCACTGGAAGAGGAGGAAGGGAGATGAATGCAGAGCCGGAGTTGGCCAACATTGCATTATGTCAGCACTGCGTGTTGCATTCGTTCACCATCTTAGCCAGACTGCGCAGAGTTGTCCCCCTTGCGTAGTGGTCCGTGGTCAGCACCACATGTGTTCACGCAGCTGTGATATTGGTTTGTATCGGCACGGCGGTTCATCTGTCGTTGGTGAGCAATGTTGACACGTGTGGATGGATTTGCACCTTTGAGCGCGTGACTCGCGCGCCTGTGTCATGACCGTGGATCGGTATGCACGGGCTCGAAATTGCAGCAGAGCGCGCCCGTGTGGTAGGAGTACCAGGGGCGGGGGAGGTTGGATGGGGGATTGGATGGGGGAGGGTCGATACGGTCGGGTCCTGCTGGGAACTTGCGTCCCCTTCGCCCGTGCACCTCGACGGCACCCTGACGCACCTTGACGGCTGCAGCCGAGAGGCTTGCTCGGCCCGCCGCAGCTTTGGCCTCCGTCTGGGGCACCGCCCTCAGAGTGCGACGAGGCGGCACAGGCGGCTATCTTGGCTATCTTCTGCGATCCACGCGCCCTCTGGCTGTTGGAGCGCGCGCGCGCGCTTTCTGGAAGCGCCCCTCGAGCTGGGTCGGCGGAGGGCCGCAAGCCTGCTGAACAAACAGATCGCTCCAAGACGCCTAGAGGCCTGGACCCCTTCAAGGGGACCAGCTTTTCATCCTGTGCCGGATTTTGGCAGTCATGGGGCCAAGGGGATGAGCCGTCTGGTTTGATATTTGGCGTCGTGCAGGGCAACGTTTGGGAGTTCGGTGTTCGGCAGTGCGAAGGGGCGGGGGGCGCGCTAGAGTCTGGGGAAGATCGGTTGGCATGCTGTGACGCACAAGGTCACGATCACAGTTCCCGCGAGCAAGTTGGTATTGCTTGGCTCCCATTTGGGAGCGAAGGAGGTCAAGAGCCAGGAGGTTTTTACGCTGTCATTTTTGGCTCGAGGCTCGCGGGGTGCTCAAGTTGTGTTCCCGCATCGGACTGGATAACATTGATGTGGCGGGTGGGTCGCGGGAGGCTCGCGGGCGGGTCGCGGATGGGTCGCGGGCCGGGTCGCGAGTGGGACGACGACAGCAACAACCAACAACAACCAACAACACCAACACCAACACCAGCAGCAGCAGCAGCAGCCTCAACAACAACAATCAGTTGCAGGCAGTTAATTCTTCACGTATATCCCACACCCTCGATAGCCGCCTTCTTCGTCTTCGATGGTACCCCCTGCGGGTATATCATCCCTACCTGCCGCAGCCCCTAGAACTGCAGGGATGGATACTGAGGAGGCAGATCAGTCTGCTTCACTCTGATGTTCCCTTCCCGCGTTCCTTCTGATGTTCCGCGCCACCTCCTCTGAGGTTCGGTACGGCTGTAGACAACGCAGGGGGCGGCGCTTGCAGACGGTTCCGAGATTGAGATGCCGGCTGGATTGGGTTGAGTCCGTCCAGCGTGGTTGGCCGGCGCTGTGCTGGCGAAGGATGCAGAACGCAAGCGACCGGCAAACAAAAAGAGGGTCGGAACACGACCCAAGAGCGCCCCAAAACGGCCTGAACGCCGCCCAAGACAGCCTAAGAGGGCCCCAACACGGTCCTAAGAGGAGCCCAGGAGGCTCCCTGGAGGACACTGGAGGCCCCAAACGGGCCCCAGAGAGGCCCCAAAGAGGCCCCAAGAGGCCCCCCAAGAGGCCTTCAAGAGGCCCCATGGGTGCCCCAAAACTACCCCCAAGAGCCTTCAAACAAATCTTTCCGCGGTCTCCCCTCTCCCACTCCTCACCCGCCTCTCTCCCTCGCGTCTCCCGTTGCGGCCTTCGTCGCTGTCGTCGTCGTCGCCGCTGCCGCCGCCGCCGCCGCCGCCGCCGTCGTCGTCGTCGTCGTCGTCGTCGTCGTCGTCGTCGTCGTCGTCGTCGTCGTCATCGACTCGTCGTTATTTCTCATCGCTTCTCGATCTTCTAAGATTTTTCTGAGTCCACGATGGAAAAGTACCCCCGTGGAAGATTTCTGAAAGCAAAGACGGGAGAACGATTTAATTAATATTTCGCAGAATTGCTTTCAAGTTTTCCAGACATTACTGTACGTGTAGGACCCTTCCTGGGTCCTAAGGGTCTTTGGGAAACCTTTGGGGTCTCTGGGATATCTCCAGGGCCTTCTGGAGACCACCAAGCGCCCCTGACACGCCCAACAAGGCAGCAGAAGGCAAGAGGATGAGGCAGGAGGAGGGACGAGATGAAATTCTCATTCAGCCCGTGTATGTGCGCATGTATGTGTGCACGTATGTATGCATGTACCTATGCTTGCATGAAGGCGTGCATGTATGTATGCACGCTTGTATGCGTATATGATTGCAGATGTCAATGCGGCCAGGGGGCAGCTTCGGACGGGAAACGCGGATTCGCACGGGGAGTCTGAACAGCCCTTGGGGCCCGGCCCAGGAAGGCCTCAGAGAGAACCTCGAAGCCACCAAGATGGGCCCCAACGGCCCCAGGCAGCCTCAGACAGCCCAAGATAGCCTTAAGTCGGGCCTGTCCCTCTACAGGAAGAATTTTCGAAAATAGTCAAAAATTACCCAAACGGATGGACCCCACATGAAAACCTAATTTTGTATGGAATATGTACACTATCAGAATGATGCTGCTCCTGCTGACGCTGCTGCTGCTCCTCCTCCACCTCCTCCTCCTCCGCCTCCTCCTCCTCGACCGGCTTTCATTTCAACCAACTCCTCCCCACGCCGCCGTGGTTGAAACCTTCCTCCCCGCTCGCTCCTCTTCCTCCTCCTCCTCCTCCTCCTCCTCTTCCTCCTCCTCCTCCTCATCATCATCATCATCATCCACCTCC